AGGCAGTAAGGAGCTGGAAAGGGTCAAAAGGAATAACTTCACAATTTTGCCTTCCAATAATATGAAGTTTAATAATATGAACTTCCCACAACAACAAAAAATCTATCCATTACTATAGATCAAAGCATCATTATAGTAATGCAAGAACGTTCCACTGTATTGCCCTTCTATGACTGATTGGTTGTTTATTTATTTATTTAGGCACCATCATTTACACAGATCAAAATGTAACCAGCTTTGGAAAAAAAATCATTACACATTTCAGCATCAGCAGGGAGTAAGCAAAATAATCACCAGCAGCTTCCTGGTTAGCATCACCGTAAAATTCAGCATTGGGAAAAGGGGAGGAGAGAGTAGACGAGAGAAGATGCAGTTTCCATTTCAGGAGCTGCTTGTCTCACCTGCACAGTGAAGTTGGAAATATCCTGATGATGCTTTCTCACCTCCTCAAAGGCAAATCTCAGTCCTTTTTCAATGCGTTGGCTGAAGTTACAGAATCCAATGTCAATACTTCGAGGTACAAATTGAAGGACTAGAAGTAGAAAATTAAATGTTCATGTTACTAGATTTAAGTTTAGTAATTCTGGCTAAATATGGCAGGGCTTGAATGGGAAATCTTTATTCCAAGGTTGGAAGGTGGGGGCAGTCTTTAGACACAATGGGAATCACACATCATGGTTACATCATGGTTTAATGGAAAAACCATAAATGGTTGGATTTGCATAACATACTAAATAATACACCATGATTTATAATCTGCAATGGGTGGATTCATATAGCATGCTAGCCAAAATCAAACACGTCACATTCTGGCTTAGCATGCTATGGAAATCCAAGCAATATCAATATTTTATTTGGTATTCCAGTTCTATAATTCACCCTACAAGGAAAATCTAGCAACACACTTTTTATTTATCTAATTTATATCCCTTAGCCATTTACACAAGACAACGAATATTAATAAACCACTTTACTGCAAGTTATTGTAGACTCATCCTTGTTTCTCTCTGGCATCTTGACATGTTTATATTAACTTCCTGTTATAGTTCCATGCATGAATGCTTATACCTCTGCACCTCCCTGCTACTGATTCATTCAGTCATTACTCATTAGGCACAATAGGCAGAGTGCCTTGGGCTGATGAAGCTTTTGGCTCCTCCTGAAAAGTTTTATGTTTAAAAAGTCATGACCAGGTGACTGAAAATTACAGGAACTGAAATAATATACAGGAGGTCATCTTGGAGAAAATAGTTTCTATTCTCCATTTTTCATTAATACACTGATTTTTTCTACCAGTCTGGAAGCCTAAATAATATTATTTTGAACAGATGCACACATCTTAAATTCAAAATGTATCAGTTCTAAATTGTGAATGAAGCGTTTTCCCTTCAACAAATCTTGGATCATCAAAAGTCCAGGATTCTTTCTCAGCATAGAAACAGTACAAAGGTGATGGGGCTTACCAGTTTGCACTCGGAACTGGAGAGCTGGAGCAGGAAGAGATGGTTGCAGTGATGAAATGAGAGGCGTCTGACCACGAAGAAGGCTGCTGTTTACCAGTACATTGATGACAGCAATTGCCGTGTAAACAAAAGGCCCCGAGGTCACCAGAAAAGAGAATTTGGGAGAAAGTGTATACACCTATATTAAAAATGAGAGAGTTTAAAATCCCCAAAAGAAGCAGTATTTTCTGCACTGCATAATC